TTCCGGTCAAGGACATGTACTGGTTGCAGGCACATCCCCAAGTGGAGTGTGTAGGAGGCAGCTGGTCGATGTTTGTCTCTCATCGATGTTTCTAGCTCTCTGTCCCACATCATGCCGGTGTGATGATGGTTGCTTCCTCTCTTTGTCCCACAAAAGCTTCCTACTGTCTTTCACTTCCCGTCCTGTTGAGCCTCCAAGTCTGTGTATTACATATTTTAACGTGTGGCTTTTCACAGAGCATTTTGCCATTATCACCATATATCTTGCTGTTTCACTTAGACCTCAGAAAACATTTAAGCAAGCAAATTGAGCAGGTAAGCAATGGGTTAGAAGAACCAAAGAAGTAAAGATCTTGGGGTTTCTCTGGTTTCTATCATGTGGTTATTTCCTAAACGGGACTGGTAGTTAGACCAGCCATCATTACCTGGGTGTGTTTTGTGAATGGGGAAGCTGCTGTCCCAAACAACTTCCAGGCATCACGGTGTGTCCTTGAGGATTCAGGACCTGCTTCACAGACACACACACACACACACACACACACACACACACACACACACACGCGCGCGCACGCGCGCACCAGGAAAAAGCACAAAAGGAAGGAAAGGGTCCATTCCACTAGGGCAGTGGTTCTCAACCTTCTGGCCCTTTAAATACAGTTCCTCATGTTGTGACCCAACCATAAAATTATTTTCGTTGCTACTTCATAACTGTAATGTTGCTACTGTTATGAATCGTAATGTAAATATCTGATATGCAGGATGGTCTTAGGCGACCCCTGTGAAAGAGTCTTTCGACTCCCAAAGGGGTCGCGACCCACAGGTTGAGAACCGCTGCACTAGGGAAAATATGTTGACTACGCTGCCTGTCCAGTCACCTTGTCCACCCTTTCTCTCCCATGCGGAGTGTGTTTCTCTTATTTGTACAAAGAGTGAGATTTACAATGCAGTGTTCTAAGGTGTCTCAAATTTAAACTGTTCGTAGCAGTCTCATAATTATTTCAAGTCGAAAACACTGGGTACTTTTGTCATATGTAAAACCACTTGAATACATTCTGCTCTCCTCATTATATCTGTAAGAATCTGAGTTTTCAAATGCATTTAGTGGTTAACCTTACTTTTATTTTCAGGCCAATTGCTTAGAATCTGGTTAGTCTGGAGTATTATGTATCTAAGGCCTCCAGTTAAGCATCTTGTGTCATAAGATCACCGAGCTGCCACAGGGAAGCTTCGCATTAGAGCACCTAAATTCCTCTCACCTCAAGCGCCTTTCTTATGAGGCATTCTTAATTTCTTGAAGTAATCAGTTACCCCTAAGCTCTGCCTTCAGTAATCTGATGCCCACTGCTCGAGCACATAAAGGCCAGTAATTTTAGTAAAATTCCTTCCAACAATGGTATTTAAAACCCCACCCTGAGGAGGCGTTTATTCTTGAAGCATTTTCTTATTCCTCACCTCCTTCCTTCACTAAGTGGATTGCGAAATATGTTTCGTTTGGCATTTCAAGAGCAGCTCGGAAAAGTTAGCGATGTGGCTGTGGAAAAGTTAACGATGTGGCTGTTTTCACATGGGCTCTGGCCCTAGGGCATCGCCACCCTCAGCTGCCTGCACTTGAGTGAGGGGAGCAGAATCCTTCCCACGGAAACTGGGGAAGGAACGGGAAGTAGCTGCCTCTCTCCCAGATGGAATGCTTGAGCAGTAATTGTCACTGAATGTGTCCTAGGTTTGCCCACTGCAGAAAGTTCTCATACATCCTCAGTGGTTCTGATCCTGTTGGCAAAAGTGCCTGCCACAGGGGCATCGCTCTTGGTCAGCTCTCTGCTTACACTTCCCACCGCACCTCCCGGTTTCCTCACCTTCCCGACCCTCCCTCCCGCATAGTTTCCCAGAGGGGCTGGGAATTAGATTGAATAGTATTGAATTCAGCTCTTGCGTCTCTTTGTTCAATTGCACTTTCCAGCTCCACTGGCTCAGCTCAGTTTACTGTGGCTCGTTAAGTCTCGGGAGCCCTGGCGATGCCTCCATTTCCTTTTCACCAGTGTTAGTGTTTCCTAGAAAGATGGCGACAGTGACTTGTTTACATCTATACAGTATATGCCTTTTCAGGATCAGAGAATATAAGCCATGATTTTAAAGGAGTCGGCAAGATGACCTTGATGGATGGATGGGGAAACCTAAGCGCTGACAAGAGCCATGGCTTCCAAGTTAGAGCCTCGGTACAAAACTGTCTTAACCAAGAACTACCAATTGAAAAATGGTTTTCATGCCTGTGTTCTTACATTTATGCTTTTAACATTAACATGATATTCTTGAAAGCACCAATGGTATTTGCCTGTGTTTTGCCAGTAGAGAGCCAGGGTAAAGTGGGTGGCTGGGGTGCCCACACTTACACAGTAGCTGCAACTCGAGTCAATGTCTAGTGAAGGGTTGTGTATTAGGGACCAAGCCCGTACCTTGTCCTATGTGTTGGAGGTTAGGAAAGGCCTATCAATTACAAAAAAAACACACAACTTAACTATATGCTACTTTTAATGAGAAAAATTTCAACTTGTTTTTAACTAAAAATAAATATTTCAACAAATCTCTTACGAACTTGTTTTTTGAGCAAGTTAACACATCGAACTTTCATTGCGGCCACTAGTTTGTATGAGTGTAGGTTGGTCGGCAAGTGAATGTCTCACACATGTACTTGTCCAGGGTAAAGAAATACTTGGCCAGTGTTGACCGAGGTTAGCCATTGACCATTTATTTTCCATTGAAATGGAATGTGGACGTTTGCTTTGTTTCTTAACGTTTCACATTCCATCCTGGCAGGGAAGTGGCATATCACCAATCCCTCTGTGAAATCGCGCTTCATATGCCCATTCCCAACCGGTGCCTCCAAAGCTTCGTTCCCTGGAAAAGAGCTGAAATACTACTCCACTGCCCAGAGCGCCCTGCCCTCACTCTGACCACAGAGCCCACTGCTTTTGTTCACAAGGAGCAGTCGTTTTCCTGAAACAATCAAGTATTGCACACACTATCTGATCACTGAGGTGTTGGTGTTTTAGTAAACTGAACTCCGAGCCGAGGCCACGGTGTAAATCTTCCCTAGTTGTCCCAGTGCTGACCCCAGGCCGGGCCTCACAGATGGCATTACCTCTGAGGTCCCCGAGTGAAATTTCAGGATGGTGAGTAGCTACATTTGGCTGAGCTGCCTACTCAGGTGAAGCCGCAGCAGGAGAAGGCTCTGCCCTGGCTATGGCGAATGAGTCAGGACTAGGGGTTAGATCGCCCCTGAACCTGGTGTTCCAGGGTGGATCGGAGTGGATTCTCTGTGATTGGATGAGACGGGAAGAGAGCAGGATGAGACTGTGAACTCCAGAATGCTGCTGTGGCCCTCCTCTTCACACTGTCTGGCCCTTGATCTGGACCAGGCACTGGGTACCCTCGGGCCTCAGATAATCTGGTGAGTCTGCTTGGGCCTCCTCGGAAACAGGCACCTCTGCAGGCCCCAAGTGGCCAAGCCAAAAAGACCTGGGCAGAAAGGGGCTGCCCCAAGCCCCAGGCCAGGCTGTCACCATGGAGTTGTCACTGTCTCAGGCTTGTTTTCCACGTCAAACAAAAATAATGATGGAAGGATCCACACCGTCGTCGTAAGAGTTAGGATGGAAGGCGCTATGGGAATGGCAAGCAGGTTCCTCGATGGTTCTATACGAGGGCACCATTTAAATGCTCTCCAGTGTGTGCTGGTGGGAGTCCCCTCAGCCCCTCCCACCAGTGAGACAGGCTGCCTGACAGAGAAGGCTCTGGAGCCTGCTGGCTCTGCTCTGCCTTTGGGGACCACTTAGAATAAAGTCAAATCCCCCTTTCTTCAGACGGCCCATCCTGGGTGACACTGTCTAGCAGTGGCAGATGGCGCTGACTATCTCTGTCCTAAAATGAGCCTGGAGAGACAGGCCTGCACCCACCCCATCCCCTCCCTCCCAACAGCCCTACCCAGAGGCCGTCCTCCTGGGAATTTGAGCTTTCAGATTCCTTGGAAACTGACTCAGGTAAATCAAATTCACAAAAGCCTGGAGCATCCAGAACGACTGGAAATTCATTTGAAAATAAAACAGGGTACTCATGTTTGCAGAATAGAGCTTTCTCTTCCTGTTGGCAAGTTTAGAGGAACCAAATTACAGGGTGTTGAGTGGACAGGAATTAGGGGAAGGATTGGTTAGATGATCTCAGGAACCATGGTCACCAGGGCGTGATGACCTGGGGCACCCCCTCTACGAGCCCCTCCCCACCCCCAGATTGGACTGCCAGCTTCCTCGAAGGCCCACCCATCCCCCTTTCCTGCTTCCACAGCAGGCCAGCTCCCTGACTTCATATGGACTCCGTCCTTCCTTGGTCAGTGCCCTGGTCGGACAACGGTCTGGTCTGTTTTGTACTGATGTTTATCATTTAACCTGCAAAGGACAGTGCAATCGCCCAAGTCCTGGCGGGGGGTGGGAAAGGACCACAGGGCCCCCGTGACTATGGCTGCTGCTAGGCTGGCTGGCATTTGATTACACACAGATGCGTACCAGCTCATAGATGCTATTTTGTTTTTAACTCCTCTCTTTTTACAGTTGGAACTTTTATTTTGAGATCATTGTAGATTCTCATGCAATTGTTAAAAATACGACAGAACAATCCTATGTGCCTTTTACCTAGTTCCATCCAATGGTAACAGCTTGCAAAACTATAGTATAATGCCACAACCAGGATGTTAACATGGATACGTTCAAGACGGTTGAGGTTGAGCATCTTATTGAGCCTCTTCCCAGCTGAGGCCGTGGACGTGTTTAACAGGCACCCCGCCTCCTAAAGAGGTGGACTGGCATTCTCCTGTTTGTCTTCATGGAGAGGCATGAGCAGAAGGCAGCCCCACGCATTGCTGTGGTTGGGCTAAGGCCTTCTCATTTTGTGGCAAGTGCCCGCTGGAACTTGCGGCAGGGGGTCCAGAGCATTCACCCTGTGTCTCTTTTGAAACAGGAGGACCATGACACCATGGAAGCCGATCTGGACAAAGACGAACTGATCCAGCCCCAGCTCGGCGAACTCTCAGGCGAGAAGCTCCTGACCACGGAGTACTTGGGAGTAAGTACCACGTGAAGGGGTTGGGGGTCCTGAAGTAGAAAGGAGAGATGGACATTGATGGCCTGAATGTTTGCCATAACATATGAGGGTTTGGTCTATTCTGTTACGATACTGTGTTGATGAGAAGTTCCATGTTAGCCAGTGTGTTTCCAGTGGCCCTGAAGTGCACGGTGGCCCCAGCTGCCTGTCACAAGTAGACCTGTTGGTGAACAGAAGAGGGATTAGAATATAACTAAAGGGCACACGCCAGGGACCTTCATAATATCTGAAGGTCTGCCCATGCTTGGCAGTAATTATCTACCTGTCCAGCTTCTTAATTTTCACATCTTGTCTGTTAGAAGGAAAGTCTGAGTAGGAGAAAACAGCAGTATTCAGTGATTACAAATATCCTACTTCCACAAATTTTGCAAAAACATATGCCCAAACAGAAACACCTTACTAGGGCCCCCTCTGGGGCCTGGAAGCTTTAATTCCATCAGCCCTTTGGTAGTTCCGCCCTGTGCGTCAGCCCTTCATCCATGTGCTTGAGCTTCTTGGTCATGAGATGATGGATGCAGCTCTAGGATTAAATTCATGATAAAGTCGGGGAGAAGACCAAACATGCAGGCCAGCCAAACCCACCCCCTCACGTGCTTTTCCTGAAGCTCCATCTGGTGACATCCACATGTTTTACTGGTCAGAACTGGGTCACATGGCCCCTAGCCTGGGAGTCTGGGAAGGTGAGTATTTTTAAGTATATACATTTATACTTTATACTTTATTATACATCATAATTTCTTTAAGTGATTCTTCAGTACTCAAAAACTAGTAAATGGAAAAAATATATCTTTCACTTAAATTGGCATGTGTTGACCATCTTTTACTAGTAAATAAATTACATTCAGCTAAATCATGAGCTGCATTTTTTAAATTGTGGTTAAATTTTTTTAGCAGCAAAACTTTTAGAGGCAGATTTTGTTCTTTCAAATACACTCTCATCTGTGACAGAGAAAGCCGAGTTCCTCTGGGTAGTCCGGTGGGTGCAGGAACACTTTCTCTTTTCCTCCCAGCATCCCCTGAGCATTTCTGTGGACCCCTGTGCAGACAGCAGGTTGTTAGACCAGACACTGTTTAAGATCTTTCCAGCTCAGAAAGGCTCCTCTGCAGCTGAGGGTCCCAGAAATCGCATGGGCCGCACCGTGGCTCCCCCTGCAAGGTCAGCGGGTTGTAGGTAACGAGGAAACAGTGGCTGCTCTGAGACCCCAGGCATGCCACATGAGAGGTCCTGGGCCCTGCACACTGAACCCTCCTCACCAAGGACCTTTCCTCTGGTACCTTGATAATAAACCAGACCATTCTGTCCCACAAACCAGACTCGGTTTCCTCACCCACTGAAGAGGACAGATACCACATGCCATAAATTATTTCTTAGGTCTGTGACATTTTAAGGACTTGGTTTGGCTGCCTGGGTTTTCCAAAGGCTGAAACACTCAAATATCAGTGATATGTTTTCTCTCCTCCTGGAAGGAAGTCGGGGGGCGGTCAAGCTCCAAAGGACAGTGGAGTGGGGAGAAGGAGGCAGAGGGCTGGCAACAGACTTGAAGGAACCCATGTATTCACTGTCTCCCTTTCCCAGGAGCTTCAGACTTAGCCCCCTCAGCTCTGTGTGGAAAGACCCAAGTGTTCTGACAGGCAAAACGGGGGGAAGAGAAGGTATGAAAGGTCCTAAAGTACCGCTGAGAACTGGACGTAAGGGGCCTGCTCTGTGGTGAGGCCTAGGTCCTAGCGGGGGGGCAGTGTGACAGGGAGGTCAGAGTGGACAGCAGTATCAAGCGATTGCAGTTCAAACCGCTCTCTGCGAATTTCACAAGTGATATAAAGGAAAACAAAACTACGTTTTAGTTCTTATTTGGAAAGCTTAATTCTGTTCCATTTCCTCCAAGAGGGTAGAGGCCTCCCTCCCACCTTCTCTCTCCTGTCTTTTTCCCTTCCCTTACCAGTGCAGGTCTAGGCCCAGCCTACCTGCTGCCCACTGCCCTAGCTGGTGGCTGTCCCCACAACACAGGTGAGGCCTATTGATGCTTTCCATCAGAAAGTGACCCTTTTTCTTCTCCTTCACTCAAATAGTTGTAGATAAACCCAAATAACTTGTCAGTAAAAATCAAGAAATCACAGATATAATTCCAATTTTTAAAAAATTTAAACTTTTTTCTTTGAAATAATCATAAATTCACAGAAAGCTGAAAAAGTCGTGCAGAGAGATCGCATGTCCCCTCACCCAGTTTCCCCAGTACCTTATGTAACTGCAGCGCTTATCAAACCAGGAAATTGGTGTTGGAGCATCCACAGACTTTATTCAGATTTCACCAGTTTTTCAGTGACTTCTTTTTTGAACAACTAAATTATTAACATAATATAACCATATTACAGAACACTTGGAAAAATTACTCTTGGTTCTACTATCCCACATAGCCACTGCAGTCATTTAGTATCTTTGACTAAATCCCTCCAGACTTTTTTCATACTTTTAACATAATCAAAAGCATCATTTATATGCAGTATTATAACTTGACTTTTATTTAATGTTTTAAATGAACATTTTCTTTATAACTAGTATTTATCAGTGTAAATGGCTATATAATATTTCAAATGAACATGCCATGTTTTACTTAATTATTCCCCTATTACTGGACAGTTAGATTGTTCCAGTTTCACTCTCTAATACTTTTGTAAAGCAACTTTATTTAACATTTTCCATGTTTGGGATTCTTTCACTATGATTGACACCCAAAGATATGAACATTTTTACGACTCTTTTTTTTAAAATATATTTTATTGATTTTTTACAGAGAGGAAGGGAGAGAGATAGAGAGTTAGAAACATCGATGAGAGAGAGACATCGATCAGCTGCCTCCTGCACATCTCCCGCTAGGGATGTGCCCGCAACCCAGGTACATGCCCTTGACCGGAATCGAACCTGGGACCTTTCAGTCTGCAGGCCGACGCTCTATCCACTGAGCCAAACCGGTTTCGGCTTTTTACGACTCTTGATATAAAATGCCAAACTGCTTTCCAAAAGAGGTATCTCAGATTTCCAGCCACTAACATTTTCTTTTTTGTTAATCCTCACCCGAGGATATTTTTCCATTGATTTTTCTAGAGAGAGTGGGAGAGGGAAAGACAGAGAGAAACATCAATGTGAGAGAAACACGTCGATTGGTTGCCTCCTGCCTGACCAGGACCCAGGCCGGGAGGAGCCTGCAACCAAGGTACATGCCCTTGACCGGAATCGAACCCAGGACCCTTTGGACCAACTGAGCCACCTGGCCAAGGCTAGAATTGTAGTTTCTTATAAGTACCGCGCGCTAACCGATTGCGCCACTGGAGCTCCTAAAATTGTAGTTTCTAATTAGCTGTGTTGAAAAACTCAAAAAGAGTCAGAAGGCTACTGCTAGAAATAAATAATAAAGATTTATTCAAGGGACTTAGGGTATGCAAACCGGAAACACAACTAGGCAATACCCAGTGTTCCAAAGAAGAAAGAAAGCTGAGGGCTCTTGCAGTAACAAGTACATTCTTGGAAAGAATCAGTCCTGCATTCTTCGCCTCTGGATTGGTCAGAGAGGATAATTCTCTAGATGACCATGGTCTGGAAACTGCATGTCAGGTGGTCTGGGTACTCACACATTCCTCCTCCGTCCTTCAGAAGGTTATCTGGGTCTGTTGTGTATCCAGGCATTGACACCGGACTGGAAAGTTCCAAAGTTCAAGTTCCCAGACTAGTTAAAGCAAGAATAGAATCATTTCTTCAATACTCGACTTACTTGATTTTAGTAATTTAGCAGCTTGACTCTGGTGACTTCATTTTATTTCTTCACTTCCTCATTTGTAAGATTGACTATTTTTCTATTTTATGGTGATATTTTCTGTTTTGTGCCTTGGCTGTTTGAATTCTTTGCCCACTTATCTATAAGAGATCCTTATCTGATGAAAATTTTAACTTTTAATTTAAGTTAAATTGAAAAATTTAACTTAAATTTGCTGCAAATATTTCTTCTTAGTCTGTTGCTTATCTTTAATATACTCTAGATTTGGAAATGTTAGATTTGTTGTTGCTGTGGTTGCCTCCCGCATTCCCCCCGACTAGAGCCAGAATTGAACCCACAACCCTTGGGGAGGGACAGCACTCTAACCACTTAGAACACTGGCCAGGGTGGAAACGTTAATTTTTCATGAAACTAAATCTGTCTTTTTTCCCGTCTTGCTTTCAAAAGTTGGTCTTCTCCAGAGATGTGATATTACTATATTCAACTATTCTTGTCTCCTTTTTTAAAAAAAATTTTTTTTTATTGATTTCAGAGAGGAAGGGAGAGGGAGAGTTAGAAAAATCAATGATGAGAGAGAACCATTGATTGGCTGCTTCCTGTAGCCCCCTACTGGGGATCAAGCCTTCAACCCAGGCCTGTGCCCTTGACCGGAATCGAACCCAGGACCTTTCAGTCTGCAGGCTGACGCTCTATCCCCTGAGCCAAACTAGCTAGGGCTTGTCTCCTTTTTTTTTTTTATGGTCTGATTTTTTTAAATTTATATTACTAAATGGTGTAATACGCAAACACAAGGAGAAAATTTGAATAATCTATGGCATGATCCATCCTCTTTTATTTGCAAAGCCTCGTACTACTATAGATCGATGAATTAAATATAGTAAGTTCTACTTCTAGGTCAGCTTTCAAGATGCTTTCTCCAGCCCCTTTTTCTCTTTCCTTCCACCAGATCATGACCAACACGGGGAAGACGAGGCGGAAGGGCCCAGCTGGTGTGCAGTGGGGCGGCGACGAGCCCCTGCGCAGGCCTGTCACCCCCAGCGGCCATAGGAATGGGTACCCAGTGTAAGTATGGGCTAAAAGGATTTATTTTCTTAAACTGCAATGTAAGATGTATGTTTATAACATTTCAAAATAAAATGTTTCTGTTGAAAAGCATTTATCCTGCCTCAGTCAGCATGGCTCAGTGGGTTGAGCATCAACCTATGAGCCAGGAGAGAAAGAAGAGACATGTTCCATACCTGGGGGCACGTGTGGCTGTCCCCTGATTGGTGGATATGGTCCCTGCAAGGAATGAGAAACCTCATTTTCCTGAAACCGTGGGCCTTCCCACTATAGCAAAGCAATTGCCCATCACCACCCTCCATGCATGTCACTCGGTGCAGATGGTGTGCTGATTGCTGTGGGTGCACCAGTAAATGAGATGGGATTCCTGCTCTCAGCAGCGCCTAAAGGGGAGAGAACTGGCCTATGTGGTGTGGTCGGAGTAGGTGGCAGGGCGCAGGGGTGGCAGAAAGGACATTCAGGAGCTTAAATCAGCCTCTTTAAAAAGTAATATAACTGTCCACGCATACCAGCACCCCCAAGAACCCAGTGCTGCCAGAGCATAGACAGATGGAGAATCTCACTGACCTTGGGGGCACTCTGATACTGTGCTTTGTATGCATTCAGAATACTAGTACTTTTGGAGTCAGTGATCCCACTTCTAGGATTTTATACTGAGAAGTCAGAATTTTACAGAGATATATACAAAGGTATTTATTGCCACATCTATAATAATAAAAGCGTGATATGCTAATTAGACCCGAGGACCTTCCAGACGAGGCAGCCAATGCAGCTGGGAGGGAGGGATCCAGGCAGCCACTGCGGCTGCAAAGGCCTACTCTTGCATGAATTTTGTGCATCGGGCCTCTAGTTATTTATAAAATGAAAAATAATCTAAATGGCCCAAGTTGGAGGCTGATTACATAAATTATATATTCACACAAAACAGTATTGAAAAATGATGTTTTAGAAAAATATTTAATGCATGGGAAGAGCCTCATAATATATTAGGAAATGATAAAGCAAATTAAAAATAGTGTGGATCTAGCCTACTGGCCACTCACAGTGATCCCAAGTTTTTGTGTATGGTTTTTTGGGGGTATGTATTTGCTTTTGTTGTTGTTAATCCTCCTCTGAGGATATTTTTCCACTGATCTTTTAGAAAGAGTGGAAGAGAGAGAGAAACATAAATGTGAGAGAAACACATTGATTGGTTGCCTCCTGTAAGCACCCTGACCAGGGCCTGAGCCGGGAAGAGCCTGCCACCGAGGTACATGCCCTTGACTGGAATGGAACCTGGGCCCCTTCGGTCTGCGGGCCGATGCTCTATCCACTGAGCCAAACTGGCTAGGGCTGTATCTGCCTTTTTTAAAAGATGTCAAAAATGTCTAGGTATTTGGAGGGCAGAACATTATAGATTCTATATATTCTCCTAATTTTTCATGATAAACACTGGTTTTATAATCATGAAAAGAAAGGTTGAAAATAAAAACAAATACAACGGTCTCTGTGCAATTCGGGACCTTCCTCAGGCCAGCGTCAGATGCGTGCCACCCCCTTGGCCTGTTTTTTTCTGATCCAAGCCTCCCTCCTCCATGGATTCGAGAATTCCTTCTCCTCCCATCACTGCCCGAACTTTGCTCCATCATTTAATGCCTCTTTTGCTCCCTCTTCAAACTCACCTCCAACTGCCACTGGTATCTCCCTGCCTCCCTCTCCTCTCTGGTGACTTCCCTGGCCCATCCTCCTCTCCCTTCACAGCCCCACGTGGTCTGGTAGTGACTTCAGCAAGTTACTGCTGCCTCATCCATGGTGGCCTTCCTGTTCTGACCCCAGAACACTGCTGACAGCCCTCCCGCTCCATGTCCGCTGACACTGTGGGCGGTCCCTCACTCTCACCCTCTTCCTCCTAAATGCCGTGTACTGCAGGCCCCACTTGTCTGGTTTCCATGCTGCTGACACCCACATCTCTAATTTCAGCTCAGACTTGTCCCCGCAGCATCCCTGATTCAGGTTTCCTGGGTGAAGACACGGCCCTCTGAGCCCCCTGCTTCAGGGAATGGTGTCACTACCCAGACACTGAGCTAGAACTGTCCATGGACACAGAGCCCTCTCCTTCCCATATGCTCCTGCTCTGGCCCTTCTCTCTGCCCTCCTGAGCGCTCTCCTCTGCCCAGGAAAGCCTCCTAAAGGACCTCCCTGCTGGGTCCCCGCTCCACACCATGGACATGGAATGCCATTCCTGTGGCTCCTGTTTCCTTTAGAGATCAAATCTAGTCAAACCCTGGCCGGCACAGTCCCTCTCTATTGACGCCCACCCCCTCTCCTCCAGCCCTGGAAGCTCCCAGGACACCATGTACCTGCAGTTGCCAGTCCTTATGGTGCTTAAATCTTTCTGCAACAACCCAGCGTGAGTCATTTATTTGCCTCTTCACCTTGCTCATGGTGTTACATCTGGTAAATTCTCCCTCTTTTGGCCCCAGGTCAGAGTTCAGGACTGGCACACATACACCCGTACACACACACACACACACACACACACAGCGTTTCGTGCCCCCTTAGGACAGTTAAGTGTCTGCTTGTCTTTGCTATTGGAACTGACATTCAAGAACAACTACTTCATGGGGCCCACTCCTAAGACAGGTGGGCAAGTGCTTGCCCCGATGTGCCCCCACCCCCCACCCCCAGCCCTCACTAGAGGTGGTGGCTAGTGTCTCCTTACTGAGGGGAGTGAGTGCTGTGCATATAGGCTGGCCTGGGAGCACCCTTCTCGGTCCCATCTGTCACACCTGGCCTGGGTCTGGTGCACTGAGACACCTATACATGTCTGCTGGATGAATGAGTATCTGCCAGACACCTTCACCCACCAGGTGCCGACAGAAGGCCATGCCTACACCATCTAGGCCAGTGGTTCTCAACCTTCCTAATGCCACGACCCTTTAATACAGTTCCTCATGTTGTGACCCTCAACCATAAAATTATTTTCGTTGCTACTTCATAACTGTAATGTTGCTACTGTTATGAATCGTTCTGTAAATACCTGATATGCAGGATGTATTTAGGCAACCCCTGTGAAAGGGTCATTTGACCCCCAAAGGGGTCGCGACCCACAGGTTGAGAACCACTGATCTAGGCAGATTCCTGTGTTTGCCTAACTCCTGTTGTGGCTGACATGACATGTCACGTCTTTTCGGATTGGACCCATCCCTTCACTAATCTATTTCACCCTTAGAGGATGAAGCAGAAGATTGGTTCCTTAAATTGATTGAAATGTCATACCCCAGGTCACTCAAAGCCAAAAGATAGAATTGTGTCTTAGAAAGATACTAAGCTACGTATCACTAAATGTATAAGAGCTAACATGATCAAGGCAAGGGTACTTCTTAGTTTCTACCAATACCCCTAAAAAGGCTTAATATCTGCTAATAGCAAATTAACAAAAGAATTTCAGGTACTTCCACTTTCTGTATTTGTTTGTGATGCTACAAGATAGTCAGCAGTCCAATATCTCCTGGCTTTCTGTTTTGATGGCTGTTTTTCATTTTTTCCTGCAGGTTGGAAGACCATCCCGTTTCCCCCCAGACATCCCGACATGCCCGGAACGGCTGCCTCCAGTCCCCACCCAAGGCCCACCTTCCAGTCTGCAAGGGCGGCAAGCCTGGTGCTTCGGAGCCTTGCGTTTCGACTTCATGTAATAACACGGGCAGCACGTGGGGACACTTTGGGGCTGCTGATTTCTAAAAAGTATTTTTCAGATGCCAGAAAAAATACATATGCGTTGCATCAGAAACATACAAAGTATTTTCTTTAATTTTCAAGAGGAAATTAAAAGGATATGAGCAAGCCAGATAAGACCCTAATCTCCATTCAAATAGGAAAAACAACAGAGGAGCAGGTCAGATTCCAATATGAGAAACATCTGAGAACTTTTATCATCTGCCCACAGTTGGATCCAAACACTTCCAAGCCCGGGTTTGGAGCAGCAGACAGTCCCAGAGCGTAAAGGAAGCAGGCTGTCGGGGACTCGGGGGGCAGGGGAGGGGGGTCTTCTGCTGTGAGCAGTGCTAGAGGCTCTGCCAGCTTTGATCATCTGTTCTTTACTGGGTTCTGCTAGAGCTTTAAGCAGTAATACGCCTTTCGGCTCAGTGTATGCAAAGGTTTCTGCTGCCCGGGTGGAGGTTTTAGGCTGTGTAACAATTTTTGCCAATTTGACCTGATGCCGTTGAGTAAAAAATGGTTTCAAGTTCCATAGGCCTGGACCTCCAAAAAGTTGCATTTAGGGTAACTTATTTATCAGTAACATCCTGCTTGTACCAAATGACCACCAGGGTGGCTCTCTGTCTTGCACTGATTGCCAGTGTGGTCCTATCTTTTGGAAAGACGTACATGCTGTTACCTGCCAGGCGGCATTGGAGGTTATCATAGACAGAGGGCTGAGTGGCAGCTGATTGGCAATGTTGACATTATTGTTGTTTTCAAGATCAATTAATATTAGCCCTGACAGCGTGAAGGCCCTGGCAAATTCTGGTTCCTCAGGTGAGGACAGTGGGCACCCACCAGGGACTCGGCCTTGGCAATCACCAGTCCCCCCCAGTGCCTCTCCCTGGGGAGGCAGCAGCTGCTCAGCAGCCCCTCCAGATGGGGGGCCTGGAGTAGGAACAGCTGCGTATCCCAAGATACGCTGTGGGTGCACCTGTCAGCCTGCTCTGAACGCTGAGACCGTAGTCTGAGTCTCCCAACCTCCACCTGCTTCTGTTTTCTCAGACTCCCCCTCTGCCCATCAACTCCCCTCCCACCTTGGCGGACTCCAGAACACTGACCTGTGTGCCCTCCACCTGCCAGAGACTAGGCCTACCAACCTCTGCTCACCCGCTCTGCCAGGCCGCTCTCAGCCTCGGGCCAGCGTCTTCAGCTCCCCTTTACATTCCTTTTACTCACCCCAGTTCTTCTCTGGGAGAAGCCAAGCCTAGGTAGCGGCTTTCCCTAGGTCCCTTAGTGAGCACCTACTCCGTTTCTGGTCTAGATTCCGTTCCTCCTTCTACCCTCTTTCAGGCTTGCCCAGCCATAGCCACCCGGGACCGATGTCCCCAGGCCAGTGTCAGCTTCTTGGCTGGTCTGGCCACAGCCATCTCTTCCTTTTGTCACCCAGCCTCTATGTGAGGAGGGGTGGCAAACAGTCTTGGCTTCCATGCTTGGGATGCTAATTTGAGACTGGTTGTGAGCTGCAGCTGGGCTCCGCCAATGCAAGTGCTGTGCGGATGAGCAAGGAGAGAAGAAGGCCGAGGGCTGGGTGGCCACCCTGATCCCATTGTCTTTGTGTCATTCCTTCCCTGATCTGACTCCTGGCCCTCCTCCATGCAATCCTGCTTCTCCAGCCTTTTCTGCCTCCTCTGTGCTCTTGCTCACCTTGTCTCCCATCCCATCCTGGCCTCGCCCAGCTGCTCCCCACGGGTCCCCTTGCACACATGACCTGCTGAGTCTGGCCTCCTGGCCTTCACTCGGCTGGGAATTAACGCCCCACCCAGGACCCAGTGGGGACCCACCAGTGTGACCTGCAGGGCATTGCTCAGGACGCCCCCTTCAGACCTATGCATCAGTCAACACGAAGGTAAAACTCATGAGCAGAAACCTGTGGGACCCTCAAACTGCTTGATCAACTGAATGCAAGGCCAACGTATTTTTTTTATTGATTTCAGAGAGGAAGGGAGAGAGAGATAGAAACATGGATGATGGGAGAGGATCATTGATTGGCCGCCTCCTGCACACCCCCTACTGGGGGCTGAGCCCGCAACCCAGGCATATTCCCTGATCAGGAATAGAACCGTGACCTCCTGGTTCATAGTGACACTCAACCACTGAGCCACACCAGCTGGGGGAAGTACAATCTTTTTAAGCAAAAAACTCACCCCAGGTGCTGGAAGGAAATCATTCCCAAGGAATAAAGCCAAGAATATGGCCTGAGGGAAGTTATTCTCATTTCCCCAATGACCAAGACTATCTTGAATACCAGCATCACATGCCTTGTCAGTGGGCCCTGGAGTTAAACATGCCCAGCCCTGTCTGAGATGGAGGAACAGAAAGGAAACCAGTGCTTGTCCCAGGAAGCCTCAGGGCACACAGGCAGCTGCCCTTCTCCCCACAGCTCCCAGCGCTCACTGACTGAGAGACCCCAGAGGCCTCCGCAGTGTGGCGAAGGGTGACTGCTATCTGGTGACTGAACCAAAACCACAGAGGGTCTAGGGAGAGTTCAGCTTAGTTCCTCCTCCTAAGCCCATTAAGCAGAGAGCACAGACAAGCCAGCCATTGAAGCATGGATCAGTTCCAGACCCAGTTCTTGGGGGAGACTGTCCAGTAGATAAAGCCACCCGTTGGGTCTCATACCAGAAACAGACTCCTTATTTGGAAGTCAGAGATATGCCCTTGCAGGCTGAGGAAACCTGCCAGAAAGACTTTTTACATTTAAGATAAAGCAGAAGCCATATCACAGAGGTACCAGAGAGATTTTTTTTAAATATATATTTTATTGATTTTTTTTACAAAGAGGAAGGGAGAGAGATAGAGAGTTAGAAACATCGATCAGCTGCCTCCTGCACACTCCCTACTGGGGATGTGCCCGCAACCAAGGTACATGACCCTGACTGGAATCAAACCTGGGACCTTTCAGTCCGCAGGCCGAGGCTCTATCCACTGAGCCAAACTGGTTTCGGCAAGAGAGATTTTTTAAAAAACTGAAAAGATTGGAAGCTGTGAATCCAGACTTTGTCGCTGCAGAGCTCTGACAGCGAACATGGACCCCTTGGGCTGTAGGAAGAGAAGAGGAAGTGGGGCCAGAGAAGAAGGGGTCCAGGTCCCTGTCCCCAGGTTCGGAGGACACCTCCTGGGCAGTCACTTCCCCCGGGAGGGCCTTCTCTTCACTTCCCCCTGGAGGTCTGGAGGATGAGCCGGGCCTGGTCCCTGGCAGAGGGTCAGCTCAAGGCTGCAGCTGGGAATTAGGGATTCAGGCCTACAGGCGTCCGGGGCAGCTCAAAATAAAGAAAACCCCACCTCTGGGACTGCTAGGCTTACCAAGTAAAAATACAGGGCACCAAGTTGAATTTGAATTTCAGAAAAAAACACACATAATTGTTCAGTGTGTCTCTGGCTCCTGTTGGAATTCCATGTGTTGTCGGCTTTTCGCTGAGGCAGAGGGGAACCTGGGGAGGCCACCGGGCAGGCAGGCCTGCACTTCCCTGTGCTGCGTGTGTTTGGGCCTGAGCGCGCTGCTTCACCCCGGCTGTAGGTACTGCCCATCGAGGGGGCTGCCTAGAAAGTCCCAGCTGCACAAAAAGCAAGTCCCTGTCCATAACTGCAGGGACCGGCCAGGGGCTGGCCCAGGTGTGAGCTTTTCTTGGCTTTGCCGCCAGACCTGTAAAGAGCATCCTCAAGAGGCTCCAGAACAGAAGTCACTGAGCTCTCTCTCCTTCCCCCCAGCCTCCAGGGACGCCAGGCCAGAGGAGTGGCTGCCAGGAAGACATCAGGGAGAGCCTCGCCTGCCCCCCTCCGTGGCCCCCAGCCACCCGAGGGAGGTGCCCTGGGCCCTGTGCAGTGGAGAAGCCACCAGGTAGGAAAGGGAGGTGTTCTCCGAGTCCCGGGCTCTGGTGAAGGAAGAAGGAGCACTTACTGGGGTCTGAGGGGAGGTGCTGAGATCCCTGGGAACACAGCCACCCGCCTGATCACCTCAGAGCAGAGGGGCTCTGGTGCCTGAGAACTGTCTGTTATCAGCCCAGAAGGAGAAGAAATTCATAAACGCGCCCAGGGACTCGGGAGAACTGTAAGGTGAACACATCTGGGGGTGGGGTGGGGGGCATGACTCAGGGCAGCTTGAGGGCAGCATCCACTCTCAGCACTTGGCTGTGGAGACGGGTGGGATGGAGGGGAGAAAACGGAGAAGGAAGGCAGTGGCATGGTTTGGCTCAGATGTCAGCTTCCTGAAACAAGTCAAAGCCCTCCAGGCAGAGAAAAGGGCGTTTCTCTTACTCTGCACCCACGGAGCACAGGCTGGCCTTTGTGGGTCACTCGGGGTCCTTGGAATATAGATGGGGCCTTTCGGGGGTCTCACAGGCCCCTTCTCTCAGACCCGAGGAGACCTCAGGGAGAGGAGCCCCAGACCCAGCATCTCCTGAGCGCCAGGCACCCCAGCTGCCCACCTCTTCCTCCTGCTACAAACTCTAGTCACTCCACCGCATTCCAGGGCCACGGAGCCCACCGTGTGGTCATGTAGCCCATGACCGGCTCCCACGTCCTCCCAGACAAGCTACGTGTAGGGTGTTGGTCCCAGTGTGTTCTCTCCTGGCCTAGAACAGGCTCTTAACTTATTTGTTGGGTGAATCAGGAGGAGGAAGGGGGGATAGTGGCTCTCTGCAAGGCTCAGTGTTCCCAAGTCCTCTTTCTCTGCCTTTAGGGTGAGGACAACCCCTGCCCCAGAGGAGTTGGCTGGGTGGGTGGTGCTGCGTAACTGCTCAGAGCTGTGGGTGTGGGCACATGGTAAATGAGAGGCTTGCTGAGATGGTTTTAAATGTTTGCAGCCCCAGCCCCACCCCCGTGGCTTCCAGCACAGGCCTCCCTGTGGGATTGCCTCCGGGGAAGCGGGGAGTGAAGGTTCAGACCCCACACCACTGCCTGCTCCACCCTCCTGTGGCCACGTTTTCCTTTTCTTTTTTCTGTTTTGCTTCTTAGACTCCTTCGCATTGAGTAGCTAGGGAAGGAGCGATTCTATGAACCAGGCTTTAAAAATACTTTTATTTTTTAAGGTATTTATCCTGAGAAGAGTCAAGGTGCTCTCCCGGGAAATCTGTCAGCCCAGTCCCTGGAGTGTGCAGGGCGTGGTTTTCCGCTGTCCCCTCGGGAAGGTGGTGGGCCACACTGCCCAGATGGGCACAGGGTCCTGCCCAACACCCATCAGCCCTCCTGCTGCCTGCTGGTCCCGCTCGAGAGGCACAGCACACAGACAGGAGCCCTGCGGGGCGGGAAGGGCATTTGCCTAGACCAGGGGTAGGCAAACTTTTTGACTCGAGGGCCACAATGGGTTCTTAAACTGCACCGGAGGGCCGGAACAAAAGCATGGATGGAATGTTTGTGTGAACTAATATAAATTCAAAGTAAACATCATTACATAAAAGGGTACGGTTTTTTGTTTTTTTTTTTTTTAGTTTTATTCATTTCAAACGGGCCGAATCCGGCCCTTGGGCCGTAGTCTGCCCACGGCTGGCCTAGACCTTCCCTCCAGGCAGCCAAAGGACAGGGGAGGGATGGGCTCCTCGAATCCAGTCCTCAGCTGGGAGCAGAATCAAACAGAGATCCTGTCCTGCCACAGACAGGAAATGACTATTCTGCAAGTATTTTGTCATTTAAAAAGAAGGAGGGAAGATATTTTTTCATCTGTCTACTGTTAAGGTTAAAAAAAAAGTTCAAATCTGTAAAGAATTTTGTGAGTTTAATTGAGCCAAACTGTCAACAATTGCCAGGAAGCAAAATCTCAATGGATTGGGATAATGCTCCTGAGAAAGGTGAGTTCATACCTTGTTTTTATAAATTACCATCAAAAGGAAAAAACCTAAGTGGGTTACTTGAAATCCATTGGTGATAGATTAGGGAGGTAGGAGAAAGCAAAGCAGGGAAACCTCTGGGATTGGATAAAAAATGAAGTGATGGACATATGCTTCTTTTCCATACATGGGTACAAGGTAGTTAACATAGTTAACAGCTGGTGATTAACATGAGAACAATAGCAATGAGGGAAAGCCCTGGTGCCATTTTTGTGCCCTGAGGGGTCCGGAAAAGGGGTTACAAGTTCCCCAGACATTTCACACGTATGTTATTTTAGATGCAAAAAGACAATAGGCTAAGTAAAATCGAAGTTAATCTTTGTCAGGGAAAATACTAGCCTAGGACACGACTACCCACTATAAACTGCTTTTAGTCAAATATTTAATTTTCAGATCATCCTTTGTGGTTATTTTAGGTCTTTAAGTTTGCCCAACCGCTATGCAGGTTTTCCCTGAACTAGTCAGGTGAGCATGTGGCCCCCTCTTGTTTTTTTCGTCCATACTACACATATGCTTTTCCCCCTCATATTTTTCCCAAAAGGATATATGGCAGCTCACGATGACACATACACAGTGCATCCAGCCAAAAGAAATGCAAACTAGGAGGCCTGAGAAACTAGGCTGGGAGAGTTGGAAACCCCGTGAGGTTTTCCTACGTCCTGGTGTGTTCTCTCCCCAGCTCCTAGCCCCCACATGTTTCTGGGTTTTGTTATAGCCCCAAGGAAATAACGGAAGCAGTGACCCACCGCTGCTAATGAACCCCATGAGCAGACTCCACTTAGGAGTCCCCTGAGCATCTTAATGCAAAGGGAAGTTTCAGAGAAGTACAGGGACACAGGATCCTCTGTGTGGGGATTATGACTCAGCAGCATTCCAAACACAGGGAGAATAGTATCTCCAGGGGCCTTTTATTGCTCTTCCTTCCAGCGCAATGTTCCTATTGATAAGCAGAGACCATATAAGGGGGCTGGGCCTCTCAGCTAATAGTTACCTATCTTTCAGGGCCCCTCCCAATTTACACATATATTGCAATTTACATTTTTCCCGGTACCCAGCACCATGTGATCCTGCAGCAAATTACTTTTTCTAAGTCATAGGTGACAGCTGTCCTGAACTTCTTTTCCACCTGCTTTTTCTGCTCTGCCCTAATCTGGCCTCATCTCCCGCCAAACCATCACCATTTCCTGGCTGCCCAGGCTGCTGAGCTCACCATTCTGCAGGGAATGGGAGCCAGGCTGACCCTTACCAACAACCATCAGCCCCTATGTTCCACCATGTCCTCCCCAGACGGCCCTGCCGCCATCGCCCCTGAAGAGTTTAGTGACAGTGGCCAGCATCCTCAGACAGCATTGCCCCTCCTGCAGCAGCCCCAGGGTGGTTTGGAGAACCTGGGGGGGGGGAGGGGGACATGCTCTGGCAAGCCAAGGGATGGCTCCCTGGTGCTTTGCGGAAGGCCACTTTCTCCAATGCTAGAGGGAGAGGCAGCCAGAGGGAGCCCCTGTCTGAGGGTGCTCTTTCCCCAGCATCACTACCCGAGCCAAACAAAGGTCATGTTCTAGGTCAAAAAAGAGCTGGCTTTTGTTGTGTTTGTTTGTTTATTAAATGTATTTTTTAACATGTCAAATCCAATGAAGCAAAACCTTCTTAGAAAATTGTTTTTTCATTTAAATTATTTTTTGTTGAAAGTATTACATGTCTCCTTTTTCCCCCCTTGATCCCCTCCAGCCCACTCCTGCCTCCACCCCATGGATAGTCATAAGGGAGAGGGTTAGAGAGTTAGAAACACAGATGAGAAACATAGATCAGCTGCCTCCTGCTTACCTCCTAATGGGGATCGAGCCCACAACCAAGGTACATGCCCTTGACCAGAATCAAACCCAGGACTCTTCAGTCATGGGCCAATGCTCTATTCACTCAGCCAAACCAGTCATGGTAGTTTATCTCTTACTTCCCCCCCCTTCCTCCCTTGCCTTCCCTCTGAGGTTAAATATGTTATTATTGATTTTTTAGAGAGAGGGGAAGGGCGGAGAGAAAGAAACATCGATGAGAGAAACATCGGTCAGCTGAGGCTGGCTTTTAAGGTGTATTAGTCAGGCTTCTCCAGAGAAACAGAACCAACAGGATATGTGTGTATATATAGATAGAGAGAGAGAGAGCTTTACTTTAAGGCAGTGGGTCTCAACCTTCTGGCCCTTTAAATACAGTTCTTCATGTTGTGACCCAACCATAACATTATTTTCTTTTTTCATAAAATTATTTTCGTTGCTACTTCATAACTGTAATGTTGCTACTGTTATGAATCGTAATGTAAATATCTGATATGCAGGATGGTCTTAGGCAACCCCTGTGAAAGGGTCATTCGACTGCCAAAGGGGTCGCGACCCACAGGTTGAGAACCACTGCTTTAAGGCATTGGCTCACATAATTTACTTGAAGGAACTGTAGAGGCTTGACAAGTCTAAAATTTGCAGGGTGGGCCAGCAGGCTGGAGACTTGGGGAAGAACTGAAATTCGAGTCCAAAGGCCATCTGATGACAGAATTCCTTCCTGATCAGGAAAGTTCAGTTTTTTCCTGCTCAGGCTTTCAGCTGATTGGATGAGGCCCACCCATATTATGGAGGGCAATCTACCTTATTTATAAAGTCCACTTAGTTAAATCTTAATCTCATCCAAAAACACCTGTACAGAAACATTCAGAAATAACATTTGAATAACTATTGGGGTACCATGGCCCAGCCAGGTTGACACATAAAATTAACCCACACAAAAGGTTTTGATACACATTACCAAATTGCTCAGCTAAAGGCTAGGGCCCTTTTCTGGTTGCCCTGGGATGGGGAGATTATAGAGTCCTGAGCCCTGCTGCTCTCTCTCTACTTCTTGCCAGCTCATTTCAGCTGCCCCCAACCCTGCAAACTTGACATTACTGCCCATCAGCTTCAAGGCCCCATTTGGCAAAGCTGGCCAGCCATCCTGAGTCTGCATAGCTAGCTCCTGTGACCCAGGATGACCCTCC